CACATATATATATATATATATATATATATATATATATATACAGACACCAACTTCTACCCGCGGGTGTTTCGGCTCCAAGACTGTCGTCGTTTTAGTCACCTTTACACCATCGCTTCCCAGTGGTTGATTATCCGGACATTCACAAGGATTACGTGTTCGGCACTCTCATTCTATCACGAGTGCATTGATTCAGCCTTCCTCTAGTCGCGTGGTGTGATATATACATATTTGTATGCTCATGTATTTGTGCAACCGTTTGGTTCTACTCCAAACGCAGACGAACCACCGGCGAAGCAGTTCCACAGTTGCGGGTTTCACCAATGAACTTCTTCATTCATATTTCTCTGACTCTGGTCTTTGTGTGTAAACTTGAACGGACACTTTGAGACCGTTCGAGACCGTGAATACCTCCATCTCGTGGATTCATTCGGAACCTGCGACACTGATATGCATAAAGGGCTTGTTGCTCGTTGAATCACTTACTTACACATGCATTACTTCCTTACTCCCATCTTTGTCCCAACTAGTTTGTTCATGTCGATTTCACGTTATCTTTTTCTGCGTTTATTGTTACCATTGTCTTTATCATTATTGTTATTATTATTGTATTGTATTGTATTGTTATTTTCTTATTGTCCTTCATTTTCAATTAGGCTCCCCATCGAACCTCAACCCAGGAGTCTTCACTTATCTCCCTCCTGGGTTTGTTTTGGTTTGTATGGCTGCAGTCCGAAATGTGTCGTTTTTCATCTGTTTCTTTTGCCTGCCAGTTATTGCCCTGCTACCTATTGAATCCTTTAACACTGAAAAGTCCGGTTCATCGCTCGGAGATCCTATAGAGATTGAACCATATTCTCTCCCCTCGCCCCTCTATCTCTCGTTGGTCATTGACATTGCTTCCATTCAAAGGACTTCTATGCACATTGTATTACTCAATTTGTGGTTTATTTCTAAATCCCCTTTCCCTCTGGTTGACATCATAGGTCTATTCTTCGATTCCATTTCAACTCGGAGTCAAATTAAGGTCTGGTTTCGAACCCACACTGTTCGTAGCTCATGCATTCCAAACGAGGCTTTTCGTTGACGAATTGTGTGTGCCCTGTTCGTTTCCGTCGCACGACCGTCTATCTGTTTCTCACTGACCACACGACTATCGTCTCCTGTGTGTTTGTGTATGCCCGTAGCAGGCATTCTCTCTTGAATCTTGTCATGTTTAACCAACCGATTCCCTGCAAACATCTCGCTTGCTCATGGCCTCTTGTGTTCGCGGTCTGCATTCCAAGATCTCACAGACTGTCAACTCATCTAAGCCGCACTAGCGCCGCTTGCTTGTTTGATCGCGACCTCTCCCTCCACTGCATTTGGATCCCGTTTCACCCTCAGACGATGTCCACTTCAATATTGAAAATGTACAGTTCTGTATCTCTTCTTTCTCCCCGAGGGGTCTCGCGTTTTAAGGAGGGCACTAAACCACTGGTCTTCGGGCCGGCACGAACACAGACTGTTTGTGTGCCCTGGCGTGCGTGCGTGTGTGTGCACGCGAGTTATATGGACCCAGACTGGTGTTCTTTTTTTGAACGGCATGGGCACCTACTTATTGTTTGACGCGTCGTAGAAACCGGTTTTCTTTTTGCCCCGTGTTCACCCGGTGACTCATGCGAATGAAGTCGTGATTTAGTCACACACACACACACAGTGTAAACTCACGCACATTTTCACCCACCCGTCCAGTATAGTTTTATCCTACCGACTTTTATGTCTAATCGATTGGTTCGCTGTCTGATTGACCGGCTACGGTGCATTGATACTAACCTGGACCAAACAGCTGTGCACAATCCGTTCCCGATACCCATCCTCTAATTTCCTTCCAACTCTACGACTAATTTTGACGTTTGCATCGACTTTTGATCGTTTTCACCCTCTGTTTTCTTTTTCCCACATCCGATTGCTGGTGCGTTCCAGTTCTTCGGAATTTTGTTTCCTAGTCCCCCGCCCAGCCCCCGAAAAAATGCATCCCTATCTTTCTCTTGACCTATTTCAGTCCAATTCCACCGTGTTCTTCATGTGCTTCACTTCTTCTGTCCTCTCACTTCCGGTCTTCCGACTGTGCCATATTTTGCTTAATTGAATGAAGTTTCTGTCTGCACGCCCACATGCACAACAACAACAATGCCATGTTCAGTAATATTCTTCTGCGCTACCGATTGTAAACGGAACCTGACTTGTACGCGAACCGCGTATCGGTCGATCATTTACACGCAAAAACAAATGTATATCGTATCTCGTTGTATGCCTACTGAACCCGACCAGTCAAATATGGAATAGGGATTGGATGACTGTTAGAAATAGGCTCGAATTCCTATCTAAGATCATTTTTTTCCATTGTTGTTTCACTTACTCGCGGCTCATCTGTGTTGTGTTATACGTGGAATCTATCGTTGAGCTTCTCTTGATCAGCATCCGCTCTATTCCTGTTAAATATTCCTCTTCTGTAGCCTTAATTAGAGAGTGGATATGATTTGTAGGCTTGCACATCCCCATCTAGGCTTATGTCGTCCGTCCGTCCGCGGGGGGG